AAACAGAAAAACAACTTTATATATTAGATCCATACAAGGTAGAGGATTCAAATACCATATAGGTTAAGGTTAAGATAACTAGTGAGCAGTGAACAATACTGCATTTTACAACCATATATAAAGGAAGAAGCAAATACATAATTCTTGAACACTTAGTGTTTTAGAATTCAAAATTGCAATAGGTCATGGAGGCAAATGAGTTGTCATGGGCAGTGACTTTGGGGCTACACCAACAAACAGCATAGAACTTGCATGATTTGAATAAAAGAGGAATTGTTATTAAAGCAGAATACAATCATAAAACTAAAAGAATAATATGAATCCAACCATCCTTATTATTAGGATTCAAAACTATATTGGGTTACAGAGGCAAATGAGTTTATTAAGCCAACAGTAATGCCTATGAATCTACAGGCCATAAAGTGAACATATTTTTCCAACTTCGTTTATAGAACTTGCAAAGTGGTGTGTTAGCATCCAATTGCGATGACTTCAGCTAGCATTGAAAATATGAGATTCTAGGGTGGGATTTATATAGCCATGGTCTCTCCAACTACTATGGCTACCTTTGATGGCATGGTTCTCTAGAGGTTCTTATCAATTAGCATCACAACCGTCCACCATGTCCCTCAATTGCAAATAAAAGCATACATATGGGATCTGTGACAAAGGAAAAGTAAATGGATAGCCAGTGTGGGTGCTAGGGCTGCAATGTCTAGTGGGATGTTTGGATGCAATTACAGGGTAGGGGACTTGAGTCTAACATTGAAAGTATAGAATTTATAGGGTAGGATTACAAGGCCTTAGGCTCCCCATACAATGGTTAGCTTTTGTGATATGATTCTACCAAGTTCTTATCACAACGGATCTTATAAGGAAAAAGACAAGCTATACTTTTAAAAAACAACATCCAGCTGTTGAGCTTCTCCTACCACTATAGGGCCTGCCATAGGAAAGCAGTTGTTTAATATAGCAGCTGTAGTAGACAAAAGTGTGTTATAGCGGCACTATGTACTGATTTCCATAAAAGCCCATTGCGTGGATACATTAGGTCTTTATGGGGTCTGTTTTGGGGATTTCAATTAATGAAATCTACAGCTGTAATCCAAGTGAAAATGATAAAGCAGTACTCTTGGAATTGGAAGATGTTGATCTGAAAAAAAAGATGTTTTATGATTCCCATCTGGGAAACTTGTATTTGACTCTTGTTGGAATATACTTATATAGCTTGTTTTAAGACACCGATGACTTTCAATTGTTAATTATGAACGTCATTAGTTTAGAGCAATTTTTATAATATTTTCGAAATTATAGTATATAGTATGTACATTATATGAACCTAACCATCCTATACAATTAACGTACTGAAGCCCGTAAACTAGTAAAGTAACTATTAAGTGCATGTAAAATGTCAAGTCTAATCTAAACTGCCGTTTCCAGTTTTTGGGGCTTGTTACTACTCATCGAGCATCAAGCACTGGGTGGTGCTCCACCTCTTCCCAAACCATGCCTTTTTGTTTGCCTTACCATCACGTATGCTTCCATATGAACTATATTCATAACACAATACATGAAAGAGAAAAAATAGAACTGATGGCCGAGGTGTGAGGAAACAAAGAAAAACTGCGAAAAGTGCAAGGCTGAAGGGATCGGAACTGCATGTTCCAATTGTAATTGAGCTGATGATTTGAAGCTTATGTAAAGAACTTGGAGAAAAATTTGGATATGGAACTATGGGGTGAATTGAAAGAGTTTTTTTTCTTCTGTTTCTGCTGTCATTTATTCAGGACATTTGTGAATAAGGGATGCAGGTTCAGTAATATATTAAACGAGATTCTTGTACACCTTAAAAGTTATGAGGTAAAACATAGATGAACTAAATTTTAGTGCGTGAATCATATTTTAGCCAACATGACAATGCCTTTCAAAACTCAAATCGGGTAGAAAGTTGGACCTGTCTATGTCCGTGGCATTAGATCCTGAACCCTTCCTCTTCTTCTTGTTCTTTTTCTTGTTGGCTCTGCGCCTGCGGTTCTTAATGAGAGGTTCTTGATTTGCTTCATTGACATCTCCGGCACTGCTTTGTCCCAAAACATTTTTGGAATCTGGCTCCACCAACTCCCCTTCTTCAACATCAGCCATGTCAACATCGCCATCCATATAATCTAAATCACCCTCCTCGTATATGACATCCAGAATGTTATCACCGTTCTCCATAGCAAACAGCTAACCTGTATTCAGAAACACTATCAATTGTCAATTATCATGAAAGCACAAAAACATTATCATGACAACTCTAATTTCTAATACAAAAACCAGACAAAAAATTACAACAACAAAAAAATAAAAGACAAGGAGATAAAACGCAGGTGGTATGTTAACACAGGATTGGAGAGAGATAAAAAATGATAAATAGTTTACGAACGTTCGAGTCCAATTTTGATTAAACATAGACAAGCAATACTCATACAAACCCTAACGTTGCGCACATTTGTTTCAAATAGAGCGACTGAGAAAACTAATTGAAGTTAAACCACTGGTAAGCACGATTGCACTACGGGTAGGCAACACAGTGAACAGATAAAATTGAAAAGATTGGAGGTTACCTTAGCACTGCAGTGCAGTGGAAAACCAAACCCGAGAGAACGCTGCGTAATGCTTCTATCTGAGCCGGCGCAGTAGAAAACTGCCGCAGTCGAGTGAGAACTACCACTCTTGAAATTCAGAGTTTCCAAGAAAAAGAGAGGGTCTCCATTTTTATACTTGTACGTGATGTGAGAATGGTGAAATTTGGTTTAACTTTATACAGAGAACCTACATATTAATAGGGATTTTAAAAAATATATTATTTTATATGTTTTTAGTATTTTAAATTTTATGATATTAAAATTATTAAATTAAGTTCAAAATTAATAAATCACGTCTTGCCGTTATGCTCCTCTCATTTATGTAACAACAATCGAAATAAAAAATATATAATATTAATTTAAGATGAACTCAATTTAACTAAATAATAATACTAAAAGGAGTTTAATTTTTTTACCTAAATTTCATCCTACTCGTGATTATTGATGAATAAATCTTTTATTAAAAATAAGCCCATGCAAATTAATCATGTTTCACCACCATTTTGACATTCATCACTCTGATGTAAAAGACAGAAAGAGAAAGAGATAAAAACAACGAAATCGATTTGTTGACAATAGATGCTTGATGTCAAATAATGTTTATGCACAGTAAATTTTGTAACTTTATCATTTTGACATACCTTTAATATGAAATTAGATTTACTTTTTATAGATGATAATGATATATAATCCATAAAGGTGACATTTTTTGGTGAAAACATTTTTCTTCAAATTAAAATATATATATATATATATATATATATATATATATATATATATATATAAATTGTGGAAAGTGGTTTTCAATCCAAAAATCTATATAAGTCGGACATTTTTAATTAAATCGATTGATGAAAGTATCATCATCACAAATTCATCATATCTTTAAATAAAAACAAATAAAACACATTAATTAATTTTTGAATCTTGATTAAGTTAACTTTAATTAAAAACTTATTATAAAAATTTATAAATATATAAATAAAGTAAGAAAATAAATAATAATATTTATCGTGAATTTAAAATTTTATATACTTAGAGCTTGAGTAACTATAATATTATAAAAATAACATAAAAGTGTGAATGAGTAGTGATGAATGACACTTCCAAGTCAAGGTGTGTGTGAAGATGATATTTTATCGTAACATCCAATTTGATGTTATTTTTTTTTTTCTCAATTAAAAAATAAAAACTTACATGTGGTTACTTTAGAAGTGGTAACAACAATTTAACCAGTTTAATGGAAATATCACATCAAATCATTTTAAATAAAATAAGACTAAATTTTTACAACAAAATCAAGTACAAAAAAGGTAAAGAATCATGTTGAATTAAGAGGAAAAAAATATTAATTAATAAAAAAAATGCCTATTATCATCTTATTCTTCATTTGCTTAATTGTTTGTTAAAAAGTATTTATGATATTTTAAACTCTTGTATAATAATGGATAGGAATATTTGTATAATTTATTTCTTATTTCAAATAAAATTATTTAAAATAGTTTTTAAAATTTAAATTGACATAAAAATAATAATTTCAAAATACAATTAATAATAATTTACATCAAATTGTAAACATTTTGTAATTATTATTATTTCTTCCATTAATAATTCTGTTTTGATTATTGATCTTTAAAAAAGACACTTAAATCAAATTTATTAATAATTAGTAATGTATAACGAGTATTAACTGTAATAAAAAATACTAATAAAAAGCATGGGTGTATATAAAATAATTAATTTAATTAAAAAAACTTATAGAATTTAAATAAATAGTAATTTAATATAATAGAATGATGAAATAGTATTTTCTTAATAAATAAATAAATTTAAATTAAAGGTCATTTAAAATATAAAAACTAATTGTAATTATTTTAGTTTAAAATAACAACTTAAAAGCTAAAATGAAAAATAAAATATGTATATAGAAAAGAAATATCCTCATAATTTTATATATAAATATAGATAATTTTTTATTATTTTATTTTAGACATCAAACAAATGGTAGGGACAAAGTATGGAGACAAAACAAAGTGTGAGGACAAAGCATTATGTAAATCAAACAACAGAATTCTATAAGAACAAAATGTACACTTTTTGTTTTCTAAAAAAAGTTAGCTGCATTTTTTTTCCGAAATACTTTGTCCAATTGACAAAAAGTAATAATTTGTAATGTGTTATATGCAAGAAATTAAAAAAATGAAAGTATAAATTAAAATAAAATTGTTTTTAAATATAAATTTATAAAGTCAAATTTTGATATAATTATTTATTTATTAATATTTTAAAAGCATACAAATAAGAGTGGTTTTTGATAAAAAGGTTATAATGTATATATGGAAAATAAGATTTCTTATTCTGAAAGTGTAAGTTATAACCGGAAAGGGAGGGAAACCTCCAACGCCACGCAAAGCAATCCAAAGCAACTGGGTCTTTGTCTTCCCTGAATTAAATTAATCTGAAATTATAATTTAAGGAAGGGTTCCTTGGTTTCGTCATCATTTTTTCTTTCCAACCTACTCTTTTTCAATTCAACGCCCATCATGGATCGTTTCCCCATCATTTTTGTCGTAGTCACCCTCATCACCCTCGTCTCCGGTGGCCGTGACGAGATTCTCTGATTGCCCTCCGAAGCTTCCAGGTTCTTCCAAGCACCCGATACTGATGAGAATGATGAGGGAACGAGGTGGGCCGTTTTAATTGCCGGATCCAATGGCTACTGGAATTACAGACACCAGGTCACTCGTTTTTCTTCTTTCCCACTCTTCACTGTTTAATTGTTTTCCTGTCTTCTGTTTTTGTTGTAGGACAGCAAATTCAACCATTCATTCCATCTTAATTAACTTTTTTTTTTTAAATTCAGTTATGAACTCTCTCAGCTATGTATGTGTATATTTTTTAATTTGTCTGATTGATTCTAAGTAGTTCTTTACTGCACTTAGATAGATATATTACTTTTAGTCTCTGTTTTTCTAAAGATCAGCTTATTGGTATAAGTGAACGTGGTTTTAGTTGGATCAGGTTTATCATTATGACCGGACCCAAAATTTTTACTGGACAATTTAATTCAAATCCAATCAATGTGTTTCTTGTTAATAAATAAAAACATTTTCAGGTTATAAGTTCAAAACCTAGGATTTATAAGGTCTTCTCATGTATATTCCGATGACATAAAATTAACGGAATAAAACATAAATAAATAAATTAGGTGTTTATTCTATAAAACTATTCTATGAGAGTAAAAGCTGTTAGGAAGTCTTAAAAGTGATGCAACACACTGAAACTGACAAAAAGTAAATTAATCATGGCGTGTTTTGCCTCCCTACTTCTTGGTTATGACTTGAGACTCTTGAGTTTTGATATTTTAAAGAAACTAATCATGGTATAAAAGTCTGGAACAATTTATCATTTGCAGAGTAAAAAGTGCACGCACTTACAGTATAAAGCGTCTCCATAGTGTCATCTGATTATGGATCATCATATTTAAGTTTTTTGACTTTTATAATAACTACCTTAAAATCATGTTTACACTGATGTCTGATTTACTTAAGTGTACATTTTTTTGCACAAGAATAGAGAGAATTAAACTCTTCTTTGACGAAATTTGTCATTTGATCAGTCTGATGTTTGCCATGCGTATCAACTGCTGACGAAAGGTGGTCTGAAAGAAGAAAATATTGTGGTATTTATGTATGATGACATTGCTTTCAATGAAGAGAACCCACGGCCTGGAGTCATTATTAACAGCCCTCATGGAAATGATGTTTACAAGGGAGTCCCGAAGGTATGTTATCTTACTTTGGTATCCCATATCCTGTTCCCAATTTTAGTTTTAAAGATTCCTAACAAGGACCTTGTTGTGGCAGGATTACGTTGGTGAAGATGTCACTGTTAACAATTTTTTTGCTGCTATACTTGGAAATAAATCAGCTCTTACCGGTGGTAGCGGGAAGGTTGTCAATAGTGGTCCCAATGATCATATATTTATATACTATTCTGATCATGGCGGTCCAGGAGTGTTAGGTTGGTAGTTTTGAACCTTTCATGGAAGCTTTATTATGAAAATCATGGACTGTTTACGTTTTAATTTGAGCCTTTTTGTATTGCGACTTATTAATGGAAAATGTGTTTCCTGTGTTTTTTTGCTGGGTTGATTATATGGCGTTGCTTGATTTTGAATTGAATGTAACAGTCAAAGGAAAGTTTAGCACACCTATAATACCTCCCTTGCCAAAGTCTCTATAGCTGTCAAGCTAAGCACACTAAACTGAAAACTTTGAACTCTTAAATGTTGGTTTTTGTTATATGTAATATTTCAAAATTCATACCAGTTTTGTGGATATTTTCCGATTCTTAAGATTGTCTCAAGTGCTTAATTTGAATTTTTTTTAAAGAGGAGAAGTAGTATGATGCAGCATCGAGGAACAGTGCAACATGTTTGTGGGTTGATTTCAGTAAGACATATACACTCATCGTACATCTATACTAAACAATTTATCATGTCTGATGCAACTTTTTCCCCTTTTTCAAACAACAATAGCATTTCAAAATGTTCTGATTAAGTTCCACTTTCTGTTTTTTTCTTTGTTTATTTTTTCTTCCTTGTTTGGGTAACTTGAAGGGTAAAAATGAAACCAGAGGAAGCTGCATTCCGCGCCTGAAAAAAAAAGGCAAAAAAAAGAACTGGTTGGAAGTGTGAAGTGGAGTATATGGTCTTCAGTGTCAATGTCCTGTTATCCATTTTTGTCCGTGATCATTTTATTACATACTATTGTTTATTGGTCTTGATTCTTCTATTATCATTTTGTTTTGTGATTCTTCTTTACACATCGAAGTGTTTCTTCACGCTAAATACCTTCCCATTTCTATTTCTTATATGGTATTTTTCCTTGGGGGCGGGGTACTGGGGATGGATTTCAGGGATGCCTACTAGTCCATACATGTATGCCTCCGATCTGATTGAAGTCTTAAAGAAAAAACATGCTTCTGGAACGTATAAAAGCCTAGTAAGTTGCTACTAGTTATGTTTTACTTAATATTTGTATTAATCTTCATCTGGCTATTTACTTACTAATTCTTAGTATTTATGATTTATGCAATGTTGCTGCAGGTATTTTATCTAGAGGCATGTGAATCTGGGAGTATCTTTGAAGGTCTTCTTCCTGAAGGTCTGAATATCTATGCAACAACAGCAGCTAATGCAGAAGAAAGCAGTTGGGGAACATATTGTCCCGGGGAGTATCCTAGTCCCCCCCCTGAATATGAAACCTGCCTGGGTGACCTGTACAGTGTTGCTTGGATGGAAGACAGGTATGACTAGTGTTATTCATTTCTCCAAATCTTAAATGATTATTAAAATATATGGGATGCAATACCTTTTACGCGGGAAATTTCCAAGACCTTGTTGAAGGCCTATGACTGCTGTGATATAGACATGCTACTGCATATGTGTATTTGCCTCTTATTTTGTACTCTATCAAACCTTTTTTATATGAAAGAAGTTTTGTTCCATGTCCCTTGATAACTTTTTTTTCTTTCTGGAAGATTATGTTTTCTAATAACTAATGTTGTAAGGTCTTTTATTGACTGGTCTTTTTCCCTCCACCTTTTTGAACAGTGACATTCACAATTTGCGAACAGAAACTTTACATCAACAATTTGAATTGGTAAGATCCCGTTTCTTACTTAGTTCTGTCATGTAATCAACTTATACAAGCTGAAAGTTATTTGATACCTTTGTTGTTTGAATATATGACATGATTTGTCTAAAAAAATTTGATGGGTCGAAGAAGCTAGTAGATATGTTTCAGTTGTCTGACAGCTATGCTCACAGGTGAAACAAAGGACCATGAATGGAAATTCAGCCTATGGTTCCCACGTGATGCAGTATGGTGACGTAGGGCTTAGCAAGAACAATCTCTCCTTATATTTGGGTACAAATCCTGCTAATGATAATTTTCCTTTTCTGGAGAAAAACTCGTTGGTGCCACCTTCAAAAGCAGTCAACCAACGTGATGCAGATCTTGTCCATTTCTGGGATAAGGTATCATATGTTTGAAAACAAGTTTATTGTTATATATTTTGTTAGATAATTGCTTAACCATATCTTCATGATTTTTCCCCCAAAATTTAAATTTGAAGGGTTTTGTGAATCAGCACTATTATGTTCACTACCGTCTACCACGTAAACAGTATTTGATGACAGAATTAACCACAATAGAATTTCGTAGAAAGAGCTTGAAGGAGATAAAAGATCACACAAGGAAGATGAAGTATTAGCGAACTTCAACTTATATCCACAATAAAATTAACCATGAAAACATAAATTACAACTTGAAATTTTTTTCTTAGTGAACTCACTCTTTCGGTTAACAGTTTGTAACAACATTAACTAACTGACAGTAACATGTTGCAAATGATGACACAAGGTCCCTATTTATAGATAAAGTCAACCTAACTAACATTACCACCCACGCCTGGTCACAAGCATCAGCACACGACACTCACATCTGGTCACCAGTATAAGATTCTTCAGTCTTAGCAAACATCACAGAGTACTAGACATGCTATTAAGACTGGATGTTGTTAGACAATATAGGAATCTTTGAACAGATTTTATTGAGTCAATCCTCACACAGGGGTATACATATATTCATACTTGGCAGATATCATTAAATGGAGTTGTGATCCCATTTATTTCACTCCACATTCATTCATGTTCCAAACAATTGAGTGACATCCCATTCGTGATTGAAGCTGCCAAGCTTTAGACTAGTACTGGTTATTATTAGGCCAATGGCTATTAGCCCTTTCCTTGTACCAACTGTGCCATAGGAGTGGATATATTGATTTCCACCAACAAATATGTAGATGCACCAGAACTTTAACTAGCTAGATGAGAAATCTTTGAACTTGCTTTCTTGGATAAAATATGGAAAAATTATGTTAGACGAGTGAGTGGCTAGTAGTTTTCATTCCTTGAAATTTTGGTAATTTGGCTCTAATGATAAAACTACAAGAAAAGAAGATGGGAGAGGGAGGGGGTATATCTCTGATGTCATTTCCTATGGTAAGCCTTTATTTTTTCTAATTAAATTCTATCTTCTTTACTTCCTTTCTGTTTTTCCAGTTCCGCAAAGCTCCTTTGGGTTCTTCTAGGAAATCTGTAGCTCAGAAACAAATTCTAGAAGCAATGTCTCACAGAATGCATATAGACGACAGCGTGACACTTATTGGAAAGCTGTTATTTGGCATTGAAGAGGGTCCAGAACTGCTTAGCAGTGTTAGACCTGCTGGGCAACCACTTGTTGATGACTGGGACTGCCTTAAAACACTGGTACCGTTCCCTTGATTAACTTTGTTGAGTTTGCTTGTATTAGATTTTTCTAATAACATGCACCTTTATTCTGTAGCCATTGATTTGGCAAAAAAAAGGCATCAACGATGGGTGGTCCACCCCACCTACAATAACAAGTACAAAATCTAGGGGCAGGGGTTATCCAATTTAAGAAGTGTGCATGCTAGAATCCATCTATGATTGAATCATTGCTTTTCTGTTTGGTATTAATTATCCAGTTCACATAGTAACAGTATGAGATGGCAGCAGGGCATCCGGCAGTGTTTTGCCTTGGAATAATTGATGTTGAATTGGAACTATAAAGTATAAATCATCATTTGTTTGTTGATTGAACTAAAGTTTTGGGTTTCTGACAAAGCTGTGCCTTAATCTACTGTTGATTCAGGTTAGGACTTTTGAGACACATTGTGGATCCCTGTCTCAGTATGGGATGAAACATATGAGGTCCTTTGCAAACCTCTGCAATGCTGGAATACGGAAAGAGCAAATGGCCGAGGCCTCAGCACAAGCATGTGTCAGTATTCCTGCAACTCCCTGGAGCTCTCTGAGAAGCGGTTTCAGTGCATAATTCATACAATGTGCCCCATTGGAAACCAAGTATAATGGTTGTAGCCTTATGCTTTATCATTGCATCATGTACTGTCCTTTGGTCATGATTTCTTATTCCAACACTGTAAATACACATTGGATGCTGGGGAACCCTCTTCTTTACATTGTAATTGGGGGCAAAATAGATGCTGTAACCAAGCCATTTTACTTTTACTTTAGCAGAAACAGTGGAACCATAAGGACCCTTGCAACTTCTTCTAATGACAGTGCACGTTATCCTGTTTGTTAACCCATCCTTCATTTTTATTCTATGGCAGTAACTAGTAACCCTATCCTGATCGGTCTTAACATAATATATTTGGTAAATTATTAAAAAAAAAATCAAAAGATATAATAAAGTAACGCTCAAAGTTACCAGATTGAAGTATGAATCAGATTTATTTTTCTTTTCTATGATTTACGTAACTGCGGCGAGCTTTCTCAGTCACAATGACAATGAAATCAAATGAGCTGTTATCATTTGCCACTGGTAGCTAGCACATGGTTTGGTGTAACTAATCCTTGCTAAATATTAATTTAAGGCACAAAGATGGAGTGAATAAAGTGAGGGAAAGAAAGGAAAAAAATGTGTATATATATCACACATTTACTGGTTTTGTATTGTCCTAATATAAAATTTTATATAATCAATTAATTAAAAACTAATCGTTTAGAAACAGGGTTTTAATATAAAAAATAAATAATTATAAAATATGTGATTAAATTTATAAAATAAAGATTGTAAAAAATATATATAAATATAAATAAAATAAGAGGTATAAGTGTTAATTTTAACACAAAAATAAGCAAATGTCTACTGTAAATTTAGAAGAAAATGAATAAGATAAGTGACTTGTGTGTCACTTTATATTAAAATCTTTAATTTTTTCATAATTTCTGATTCAATTTTAACCAATATGTATTTCTAAAACTATACTACATGTAAATGTCTTTAAAAACTAAATAAAGTATGATTGCTATTTTATTAAAAACTCAACCAGCTCTGCATTTTGTTTCAAATTTATAGGATTAAATATAATTTAGCATTAACGTAAGAGAATATAAATATAATTTATTCTTATTTTAAATGTAAAATTAAATATTTAAGATAAAATAGCATGATATTCAAATAAAATATATATAATGAGACAATTTGATAACTTATAGAGTAATAAGTTAGTATCCATTATTATGTATGTAGTATAATACCTATTTTGGTCCTAATTTTGGTTGGAAATGTTCGAAATGGTGTCAAATTTTTTTTGCTGTTTAATGTTGTTCTAAAGAATGTAATTTGTGTTCAATTTGGTCAGTTTTGCAAACGTCGTTTAAATCGTTAATCGCCAGATGTTCAGATGTGCAATTATAGAATGAAATGTCATGTATTGACTTACATGAAGTCCTTTGTGACATTGTGAGTTGGATTTATTATTTTTGAAAATCATTTTGTGCCATTCTGAGTTGGATTAACCAATAAGTTGTTGTCACGTCACTACCTTTGACACATCATCATCTTCTCCATAGAAACCCTAGTTCCCTAACCTAGCCAATGTCATCGTCAGCCACGTTGTGCCGCCACCATGAAACTGTGTCGTCACTAGACGACCACCAAACCCCAGCATCGGACCACCACCCATCATCCTCACCAGCATCGCCGTCGGTAGCTACCACCGTCACCAATACAGAACGCGAACGCCAAAGTCGCGAGTCCTCCATCATTATCTTCAGCGTCTTCCTCGACTTGCATCTCCACCATGAAACCCTTAGCAGGCTGTCATTCTCCACCACCATCAAACTCACCTTCAGCCGTGAGATCCTCCACTAGATAGCGATTTCATCTTCTCCATCCACAATCACCGAACCTGCAATCAGAAAAACAACAAACCCAACAACCACCGCGTATCCTTCAATGACGCACAAACTCAGAACGCAAAAACGTGAACCAAAATCGCGTGTTCTGCATCAGTCTTCTCCACTCGCGCGCACTGTCTCCATTCACCCCCTACAAATCATTCCCAGAAATCATATTGAAATGGTCATTCTTGCAAGCACCATCGCGCCGCCATGAGCCGCTGCGAATAAAAGGGGCAAGATCCTATTTTTGTTTCTTCTCGCTGCGCATAAGCAAGCTTTCCCTTACACCTCCTTTGCATCAGAAACCCTGCAATCACAAGCACATATCTGCAACAGAAAAACTCTTTCTTCGTCTCTGATCGCGCAACACCAAGGAAGAAGAGCAACAAATGACTCCACAAAGGACTCCTCGTAAAAGAAATAGAATTTCAAAAATAATAAATCCAAACATGACCTTTCACTCTGTAATTGCATATCTGGACATATGCTCGTTAACGATTTAAACATCTTTTGTAAAAAAAATCAAATTGAACACAAATTACATTATTTAGAACTACATTAAACACAAAAAATTTGAAACTATTTCTAACGTTACCATTTGGTACCAAAATAGATATTATACCTTACTTTTTCACCGTTTTGTTCAAAGGTTACATTTTAGTACTTTTTTTCGATTAATTTATATAGACATTTTATTTTGTAATACTTTACCTAAGATTTTAGGTTGTTGAACAAAACCTCATTTAAATCTCAGTCCACTGTGACCATGTGAAACACCATTAATGGAAGAGATCAACAACTCTGAAATTGTGGGTGAGAGATTCACCATCTTCATCATCATTTTTTGTTCCCACCTTGTGTTCTTCAGTTCTACGCCCATCACAAACGCTTTTCCGATCCTTTCTCATTGTCACCCTGCTCTCCGTGGCCGCCACCAGGTCCTCCGATTACTCGATTACTCTCCGTAGCTTCCAGGTTCTTCCAAGCATATGGTGGCACCATGAAACCGATGATGGTAATATGTGGGTCCTTTTAATTGCGGGCTCCATTGGCTGCAGTAATCACAGGTATGTACTCATTCAACTTCTCACCCTTCTTTTATATATTTTGCCGTGAAAGTGAAGAAACACATATATTACCATTGCAAAACATACATATATATATATATATATATATATATATATATAATGTGTGTGTTGAATTAAAGTACATATCATGCCCAATTTAGTTTGAAAAATAAATTATAACGTGCAAGAGAATAATTTAGTTTTCTTCAGTTATTATAGTATTTTTTTTAATTGATACTTGATTCAATACAAAAATTTTTAGTATATCATTAATTACACAATATATGAAATGACTATCTTTCATATACTTAGATGAGTGAATTAATATTTTTTTTTCTAGTATTTCCCATCTTTTTTCCTTTACCTTTTCAATCAATTCAATTATTATTTTTAAAAAAAAGTTCTCACTATTTATTTTCTCTCAATCTCAATTTTTATTCAAACAAAGCGTTGGACACTGGATTCGAAAGGCAAACTTGTTAACGGTGACCTGTGACCTTGAGTTTTGATATTTTAAAGTAAGTAATCATGGTATAAAAGCCTATAACAAGTGATCATTTGTAGAGTGAATTGTGTATGCACTCAAAGTATGGTAACTATCTTAAAATCATACTATCTCTGATTGGTTGATGATGTAAATTTGTTTAAGACAATGGGTAGAAATTATATTCCTTTTGTTTTTAATTCCATGTGCCATTTCAATGCTCCGTAGATTCCTAATATGGACCTTGTTGTGGTAGGATTGCACTGCTGAAGATGTTAGTGTTAACAAATTTTTGTCTGCTGTATTTGGAAATAAGTCAGCTCTTTGGAGTGTCAGCGGGAGGGTTATGGACAGTGGTCCCAATGATCAAATACTTATATTGTATTCTGGTCATCACCGTCCAGGAGTGCTAGGTTGGTAGTTTTAATCCTTTCATTGAAACTTTGTTATGAAAATCATAGATTTTATATGTTTTACAGCATAGTGTATTTTTTTTGTGGGTTGATTATGTGTGTTTTTGCTTGATGTTGAATAGAATGTATGTTACATTATGCAATGGTTATTGGAAATTTTAGCAACAACTATAATACAGTTTTATGATTTAAGGACGTAGAAAATTGTTTAATATAAAACTTAAAAATAAAAAAAAAGTTAAGTATTCAAACTCATCATTTATTTATAAATATTTATCTCTACCTTTTATCTAGATTTCTCATTTTCTTTTATCAGAATACACCATAGGAATTCCAATGGAGAAGAGAGTAAGTCTGTCCAATAAGAATTTTTTTTGAGTAAGTTCTTACCCCTTTTGTTGAGTTAGTTTTGGGAATTTTTGCATGCATGGAGATTAGGAAATCTTGCATGTTGACGTGTGTAGGGCAAAGATGAATTTATGTTAATTCAGGATAGGATATGTTTTGATCATTGATTATAGTATTCTGTCTACGTGTTTAACTTTTCCTTGAGAATAGTGGAATTTGGAAGCTTAAGCTTGAGCCAACAAGCCTTAATAGGTAAGGTTCAATTTTTTATATTACCCTACAGTAGATGATTTGAAGTTGGAAGTGACTTCGTCACTATTTTTTTTTTCTTTTTTGGTTTATGTAGGCTTTGTGAATATGCTTGATTGGTGTATATTTAGTGATTTGTGTTAGGTTGAGTAGTGAAAAGTCAAAATAAAATAAATCAACTGAGTCACATTCGTTCATGTTGATTTTATTTCAGAACCAAATATATCATGTTAGACATGAGAAATGAAGAGAAAAACTCATTCTAAACCATTCTGAACTTGGTATGTTTTGTTGATTTTCTGAATTATACATAGTCGTTGGGCAAGCCATTTCTTGTTGAACGAAATTCAATTAACGTCATATGGCCTAAACATTTACCCATCATATTGTTATACTATACAATTGATCATTTCAGATGCAGCATTTTTTTTTTCAGAGAACAATAGCATTTTAAAACGTTCTGATTAATATCTGCTTTCTGTTTATTTGATTGTTTCCTCTTCTTTACGTGGGTAACTTGAAGGGTAAACAAAGAAACCAGGGGAAGCGACGTCTCCCGCCTGAAAAAAAAAAGGAAAAGAAAAAAGGAGTGAGGAAGAGTGAAGTAGAGAGCGTCGGTATCACTATCCACATTTTAGTGCATACTACTGGTTATTGGTGATTCTTCTAGAGCCATTTGTTTTTTTACACGACAATGTTTCTTCACACCAAATATTTGCCCTTCTCAAGCATGCCTCTGAACTTCTAAAAGCCTAGTAAGTTACTAGTCGTTATGATTTGCGTCCTGTTTGTGCAATCTTCGCACTATCTATTCTATCTATTTACTTGTTAATTCTTAGTTTTATGAGTTATGCAATGAACCTGGGAGTATTTTTGAAAGTCTTCTTCCGGAATGTCTGATAATCTATGCAAAAACATCTCCAAAAGCAGAAGACAGCTGGGTATTGTCTTGGGGTACATTGTAGTCCTTCTCTCCCTGAAGATGAAACCTATATGGGTGACCAGTACAGTGTTGCTTGGATGGAAGACAGGTACGATTACGAGTGTATCAAATAAGCATATTAACATGCATTATTTTCACTGAAAACCTTAAATGATTATGAAAGTATATTGGGGATATAAATAAGATATATTAGATGCAATACTTTTACCCAGGCAATTTCCATGACCTCGATGAATTCCCATGAATGCTATGAGATGAACGGGCTACTATAAAACTGCATTTTCCTATTATTTTGTGTTTTACCAAGCCATTTTTTATATATAAAAGAAATTGTTTGATGCCCTTAATGACTTTTTTTCTAATGAGTGATGTTGTAAGGTCTTTTATGGACCGGTCTTTTTCCTTCTACACTCTTCAACTTTTGGTAAGATCACGTTTCAAACTAAATTTGATTTCCTATAAACCAATATAAACTGAATGCTATTTGATACCTGTGTTGCTTAAATACATGAGAAAAGGTGTCTGTTTGATTGAGTTTCTGAACTGATATTTGATGGGTTCAAGGAGGTAGTGGATATGTTTCAATTGTGTGAGATGTCTTCTTAATGCTATGCCCAGAGGTCAAAGAAAGGACTATGAATGGAAATTCAGACTATGGTTCCCACGCGTGCAGTATGGTTCCCACTCTTCTTATATTTGAGTACAAATCCTGCCAATGATACTTTCCTGGAGTAAAACTCACAGGGACCACCTTCAAAAACAGTCGACCAACGTGATGAAGATCTCATCCATTCCTGAGATAAGGTATCATACGGTTGAAGAATAGTTTTTTTATTATTTATTTGACAAAATTTAAATTTGAAGGGGTATATTCATAGTTGGGAGATATTAATAGATTTCATTCCACATTCGTTTCATGTACCAAACAATTCAGTGACATCCTATTTTTTATTGAAGCTGCCAAGGTTTAGTTGGGGAAGGGCTAATAGCCCATTCCTAATACCAAATGTGCCATAAGAGGTATATATACGTTTTCCTATAACCACCAGAACTTAACTATTGAGATAAGAAATCTCTGAAAACATTATAATAAACCTTGTTGATTTGATAAATACGGAAAAATTGTGTGAATCCCATGGCTTTGTCTAAACATGGGTCTGTGGCTGGTAGTTTCGTTTCTTGAAATGTTGGTAACTTGGCCTTAATGCTAAAACTACAAGAAAAAATTAGGAGGGGAGGGGTATCTCTGGTTTTATTTTCTACTGCAAACCTTTGATTTTGCTAATTATATTACATCTTCTTGACCTCCTCTTCACTGCTTTCCCAGTTCCACAAAGCTGTTGTGGGTTCTTGTAGGAAAATTGCTGCTCAGAAACAAATCCTGGAAGTAAGGTCTCGCAGAAACATAAACTTTTCCAGAAGCTCTCGTTTAGCATTGAAAGGGATCCAGAACTGCTTAGAACTACGATACCTGTTGGGCAACCACTTATTGATGACCGGGACTGCCTTAAAAACATTTGTACCGTTTCCCTTGATTCAATTTGTTTAGTTTGACTGTATTAGACCCTTTCTAATATGCACCTTCTTATTAGCCATTGATTTGGCCAAAAAGAGCATCAACTATAGATGGTCCACCTACAATAATAAGTAAAAAATCTAGGTGCACGGATGAATTTAAGAGTGTGCATGCTAGAATCCGTCTATGATTGAATCATTGCTTTTCTGTATGTTATTAATTATCCAGTTCACATAGTTACGGTATGAGATGGCAGCAGGGCCTCCACCATTGTATCCCCTTCCAATAAATCAACATTTTGTTTATTGATTGAACAAACATTACCATATAAGGTTGTGCCACCATGAATGCTGAAGATGAGAAAGATCCACTGCAGTAAAACAAAAGAGAAAGTAGTACAAAACGATGTGGAGAAGAGTGAAAGAGAAGAAACAAAGATAAGTGAGATGAGATGAAAGGAGACGAGAAACGAAACTGATATTATTGATTCGTAAAAGTCTTAAAAAGTAAAAGAGGGAAAGTTAAATATATATATATATATATATATATATATATAGGCATAAAAACAAACTGTTGGAGTGCGCTAAGCACAAACACGCTGAAGCGAAAAGTAAATAAAAACAGAGTTTATCAGCCCTCTTCTGGGTATATATGTTTTTCATTCCCAAGTTGAAATGTAAGTATTTGAAGGTTTGAGGAGGTACCGACTTACTGAAAACATCAACTGCTTGATCAGTAGATGAGATAGGAAGAAATTTGAGAAGACTACAAGTGATTTTCTCTCAAACAAAATGACAATTATCAATATGCTTTGTTTGCTCATAAAAGACAAGGTTTGAAGCAATTTGGACAGCAGAATTGTTGTCACAGGACAAGAGAGTCGGTTGAAAAAAATAATGCCAAGATATTGAAGAAGAAAAGTAATCCGTTGGATTTAGGAGGTAGTGGAAGTTAGAGTTTGGTATTATGTTTTTGAGGAGCTATGTGATAATTTGTGGCTTTTTAGATTTCTAGGAGACGAGGGAGTTGTCAAAGGAGACGAGGGAGTTGCCATGAAGGAAGACGTTATTAACATGTAATTGCTTGAAAATCCAATTGTTGGATGCAACAAGAACAAGAAGGAGGCGCAGGGTTATAAGTTTGGCAACAGAAATAAAAGTATCAAAGAAATCTAACCTTATAATCGAAACTAAATTATGATACGAAATTGACTTTCAGATTAATTCAACCTTATAAAAATTGTTTGTAAGAGGTGGTTTGCACTCATTCATGTACTATAAATTAGTCTTATTTTTAGTTCATGATGTTTGCACCTTACTCATGTACATTTCATGTATAAGACTAGACATTAATGAGTGATTCAATAACGATTTGATAGCAAGCAGAATAACATGTCCAACAAACACATTTTTTTTCTAAGGTTTTAATCTGATTTCGATATCATCTTACAAAAAACTTGTGTCGTTATGAATGTTGAAGATGAGAAAAATACACTGTAGTAAAACAAAAAAGAAAGTGGTACAAAACAATAGGAATAAGAGTGAAAGAGAAGAAAAGATAAGTGAGATAAGAGAATAGGAGACGAGAAACAAAACTGATATTATTGAAGAGAAAACCATATGTATAGGAATAAAAACATATTGTTGAAGTGCACTGATAAGTGTGAAAAAATATTCGTTATTCATGCTTATTAATACTTTGTTGTAATTATTATGAGTTATGTGTTTTTGTCATAAAAAAATGTAATAGTTGTTATAAAAGTTGTGTTAGATCATTGTACAAAAAAATTGATGCAATATGGAAGAATCTGTCATATTGTTCTCGCTAAGCCACTTATGATTTGTTCAACGAGCAGAGTGACTCACTCAAAAAGTGGGATCAGTTAACATAGAAACAATTGAAATTTTGCTCAGCACATGCACATTTGCTCGCTCAGTGAATAGTGTAATTCTGGGAGTGGTTATTTAGTCGAGAAAAAAATAAATGAGTTCAGTTCTGGTTAGAAAAAGAGGAAGAAACTTAGGGAAATTGGCAGAGGCTACTTGAAGGCATCAATATATTGTTCTTTCATGAAATTTCGTCAAACTTGTATGTTCTAGATGATTAGGAGTAGCTAATTTCACTTTTAATTGAAATTGAATGTAATGAACTCATTTTGATGTAAAATTCATATGCAATATATCTTTGTTCATATGCTCTTTCTTGAATTTACTGTCATTGTATGAAAATATAATGTTATCTGAACGTCTGTGCTTACTAAAAAGTAACTTTGAATATGAACATAGATAAAATACCTAAGTGATTTGGGATCTAGGATAGACCCGATAACTTTGTCATTCTAAGCATCTGACTTGATGCGAATTATATGTTAATTTAACTAAGGAATTAACATTTTGATGTATAAATTTAGAACTAGTTATTAAAGGATTATGACTAGTATATCTTGATGTGAATGTTTGAATGAAATAATGTTATGTTATATAAAATTTTATCGTCATATTATTCATGAAACTTAATTATAATGAAGTTTCATCTTAAATTTCAGTCATAATCTCTAAAATTATTGTTATTACAATCAATTTCCATAATTATAAATTCAATTATTATTTTATTTATGTTGAATTTGATGAACAGACAATATTAGATAAACAAATATAAATATAAATTCTTTGAGAAAAGGATATTTGAAACTTTCCTTTATTACTTGGAAAGATTTTGTACCTCTCCTAAAAATTATCATGCAAACAGGCCCAAGCGAAAACAGAGTTTATCAACAAAAGCTTTTGATTTCTGACAAAGCTGTGAGTTAATTTAGTGTTGATTCGGGTTAGGAGGTTTAAGACACATTGTGAATTCCTGTCTTGGTATGGGATGAAACATACGGGGTCCTTTGCCATCAACTGAAATACTGAAATACGGAAAGAGCAAATGGCTGAGGTCTCTGGAGTTCTCTGCACAGCAGTTTCAGTGCATAATTCATAGCAAGACCTCCATTGAAGATTAAATATAATCGTTGTTAACCTTATGCTATATCATTGTGTCATCTACTACACTTTGGTCATTATTTCTTAAACCAACTCTCTATTTTTGTGTATAATAGATGTTTAACCACATGTACCCATGTGTGTAATATGGTGAAACTAGTAATTCTATTCTGACAATTCAAAATAGAATAGAATATGTTTGATAAAATAAAGTTTAAATTATATAATCATTATAATGTAAATTAACACACAAAAGTCAAATGTAGATATCAATTAATACAGGGTAGCCACTAAAGGGTAATTTTATATTTTGAAAGTATAGTAACATTGGAAAGAAATTTTGAACCCTAAAAAAATATTAAACATCTTTAAAATTGCAAAATAATTTTTGGTCAATATATTTTATTTAAGAAATATGAAAGATTTAAGTTTTAATTTGAATGTTATACAAAAAGTTGATTTATGAAATTACTGGAAATTAAAATGAGAGTTGGAATTACACATAGATGGACAGCCAGGATTTGGTCAATACCTAGTTCCTAGATTGAAGTATGAATCAGATTTATCTCTCTTTTTATGATTCACGAAACAGCTGACATTCACAGACATAACTGTCAAGAAACCAAATTCGTAGTTACTACTTGCCACGTTGTTGGAGATAACTGGAGTTGTGGTTCGGTGAATTATAAACATCCGGTTAACTAACCTAACCTTGGTTAAATATCAATTCAGGGCGCGGGAATGAAATGAACTTAAGTGGGCGAAATATGTTTTATTATGAATTTAATAATTATGTATTGTTAAAGAGTAAAATTTTAAAATATCAAATAATTTTTGCAAAAAAGTTCAATATATTTAACGCAAGAAATATCCAGCACTCTTTTTAAAATATTTGTATATGATAATTGGTGATAAATGAAAATATAAAATGCTGAAGTTATTTAAAATGTATGAAAATATAAAATTAATATTTAAAAAAGCATGATTAGATAAAAAGGATTAACATTGAAATAATAATTGGAATTTGGAATGTGAGGAGTGTAGAGATTCCGTTAACGTGGTGTGAAAGCATTAACGGCGTAAGGGTATGAGGGAGCGGCTTAAGGGATGTGTAAGGGTAAACCGTGAATGGTTAGAGGGAGAAAAGAGGAAAGCCGTGAGATTGTTGATCTACGGTGTGGTGCAAAGGAGTGTCTGTGTGTGTACTACAAGATGTATGTATATAACACAAACAGGTCCTTCTATGGAAACACCAACCCACACACACACACCCATTTTCGTTCTATCACAACATCAACCTGCTTCCTCTTCAACCCTTTTTTTTTCTTCTCTTCTTTTCCTTCACCTCTCACGCTTCCCCTCCAATTTACAACACTAATTCACATAGCCCAAACTTTCATCTTCAGGATCTGACTTTTTCAAACATACAATGGGGTTAGCCATTTAGACAGCATCAATATCTATCTCTTCTTCTTTTCTTCCTCCTTTTGCCCACCCACGACAACCAAACTTGTATTTATCTCCAATCCTTTTTTCTTTCTCCCAATTTTGTTGGCTCATTTATGTTTTCAGATGCATGTTCCAAGAGTGTTTTCATGAGTTTGTCCGAATTCCGTTTTAAATTTTCAACTGAAATCTGTTCTGGAGATTTCCTTTGATCATTGCGATTAATAAGTTGCAGAAGATTTCCAGTTTTGAAGGTTGGGAAATAAGACCCAAGTTTTGTTTTTGTCTTATTTCGTTCTTCTATTCTTTCCTTTGGTGTCTGTGCTAAGTTATTCCTGATTTTTTTTTGAGCCTCCGCAGATACATTTTTCGTGAGAAAAAAAGGGTTTTGAAGCTTTGAACTTTCTGCTTGCCTGTAATTAGAGAGACGATCGTTTCTTGCTTGGGTGTAAAGACTGAGTTTATATCCATCGTCGCTGATAGAAGCTTTGAAATGTCATTATTACTTGAATTTTCAACATAGATTTACATTTTCCATAGCTTCAGAACTGAAATCCCGGCACTTTTCCTTCAGCCGTACGAAGTTCTGGCCGGACCCGATTTAGGTGAGAGAAACTAATGTACTT